ACCTGTCTGTAGCTGATATCTCAGTGACTCAGTTATTGTGAGGAATGTTGTGAACGGACAGGCATTTTTAATTTTTAAACATTTTTAGAACTTCAGATTTTAAATTTGATTGAATCCTGGCTTTGTCCAAGTTGATGAGAAAACTTCCTTCTGAAGGAGCTGTGTGTGGGATCCCTGTTTATACAGAGGTCAGTTCTCCATTGCTTCTTAATGCAGATTTTTGTGGTGCCTGTCTCCAGGGTGTCTCAACCTTCCTTTAAAGCTGAAATGGGAAGTTAGTCATGAGATCTGTGGTGGTTACAAGCCAGATGTTCTTTTTTTCTTTTTTTGTCCTTACTTTGCAAGTAGAAGGACAGAAGGCAGTTTCTTCAGTGTGTTCATTCTTAGGGTACCATTTCCTCGTGTGAAGTGCTGTCTAGTGTTCTTGTTTTGTTTGTATTTTCAAATTCCTAGAGTCATAAAGGATTTTTGTATGGTTTATCTAATTTTACACATACTTAGGAAACCCTGTGTATTAACATAGCAGAGAAAGACTCTGCATAGTCGAGACTAAAAAAGCTCTTGCAGCATTGTGCAAGATTATAGGGCTGCTGTTTAGTCATCAGTCATGATATGTGTGGATTTTTTTTTGAGAATCTAACATTTATTCAATTTCACATGTAAAAAAAAAATTACATGAAGAGATTTGTTACTCTGCACAATAGAGCTGGACCCTCAGTCTGTTAAAAGCTATTATAATATCAAGGCTACAGACTAACAGCCTAATCAGGGATGTGTTTACAGGGTACTATAGCTCCCTCCAGTTTGGAAAAGTGCTTGGAGGACCAGGCCCTATGTGCAAAGGTATAAATGGGACATCCAGATTTAAATTAAAGAACTAAATTTTTGTGCATTAGCTTTTTCTGCTGGGACAAATGTGTTTGGAACAATAGACAGAGGAATATACCAAATGCCTATTTGTAATGGGAAAATGGTTTTCTTTTTTAATATATTGCTCATATTTTTTCTGCTTTATTTATTTCATTTTTTTAAATCTCCCTGTAAGCTGCTGCAAATCAGCCAGAAGCAGCTCAGTTGTTGCTTGCCTACAAATGAGTTGCCAGCATCCTGTAATGCTGCTAGCCTGAAATACAGTCTCATCTCCTTTACAGTAATGAGAGCCAAGTGGGGTGGTTCCCTGGGAGCAGGAGCGGGGGTGGAGACACTGTTTTCTGTGGCATTCTGCTCTCCATTCTGGTGCTCTTAAAATCCTCACACCTAAATCTGCTGCTAAGGGATTTTGGAAGAACAGAGAATGCGTTTTCCGGGGTTAAAGGGTAAAAGTCTGGAATTAGTCATGCTTACGTTGGTTCCTTGTATTTATCAGAAACGTCTGATACAGTTTCAGATTTTTTAATCCATTTTGCTGACCAGGGGACATTCTGAAGCTGTAGCTACTTATTCTGGCAAACTAATAGTGGCTCACTTAACTGTGAATTACATTTCTGCTTCTTTCCTTCCTCCCTACCCCACCCACTTTGCTTATCTTGCTACAATGTGGTTTATAACTGATATTTTGTAAGTGTGCTAGGAGGCTTATGAAGAAGAAAAAGAATAAAGGGAAACATGTAGCTGGTTCCTTGAGTGATTTGTGAACACCATGATTCTCAATAATGATAATAATTATTTTATATTTATTCACTTCTTGCCACTTGTTTCCTGGATTGGTATGCTCTTGATCATCATGAGTCAGTGACTGTAGTGCTGAAGCCCTTGGGTTTCCTGTGAATGAGGGTTTTTCCAAAGAATAGCAGGATCTGTTCCTTGAAGTGCAACATAACTCCCGAGGGCATGTTCTCAGTTTCTGAAACTTATCCAATCCACTCTGCTCAGTGCCACCGTCACCTTTTGCATAAGCCAAGGTGTTATACCTTTGTGTATATTTGATGTTATAGGTACACCAACATCAAGTAAAACAAAACAGAAAAACAGATTAGAGGGTGTAATAAAGGAACTCTGAGAACTGGAAAAATAAATCTTCTGTATGCCTGAATGTTACCCAAGCACGTGGCTTGATAAATCTGCTATAATCCTTTGAAGAAAAAAGAACAAAACAAGGGAGATCATCCCCATCAGATGTTAGAAAAATAGGTTTGTGTAGAGAAGGACTATGTAGTAAAGTACAAAGCAAATGGTTGCAGGAAAGGTTTATACAGCCTTAGCAGGAAGGTTCAATATCAATGCACTGATGAGAAAAAAACGTTTTTTCTACTTCTTTGAAACAACAACTCTGCTTTCCTTGTCGTCTGTGAGAGACTTGAAAGATAGTTCCCAGTTGTTGGTAAAAGTTAAGGTCTCTAGCTGTTTTCGAGTTGTTGTATAATGTTCATATGCCATGATTTGCTTTGCTTTCAGGCAGATGAATGTCTTGATTGATGGATGTCAGTACAGTTTTCTGTGACAGGGACTGTCTAGGTAGTTTTAAATCCCATGATGGAATGATAATCACTGCCTTAAGTAGGAAGCTTTTTCTATGTTACTTCCTTCCCCTCTGTGCTCTAATTATACTCCGATGGTTTGCATCCTCCAGGCAACAAAAGGGAAGCTGGGAGTGCTTGTTTCAACTGAACCCCCCCAGGCAATAAAGTGCCTGGCTCCTGGAAAGCACCAGCCACTGGTTGCAGCAGTGCTCGTCCTAGGAACAGGTTCACTTGTGGTCCAAGTCCATTGGTTTCACTCCAGTTACTCGAGGGGGGTATTTATCCCTCTTGGTGTAGTGCAAGCAATCCCAGGAGCAGAGTGTAAGAATGCCTTTAAGCTTCTGGAGGGCTGTTGGTGTGCCTGGCATATGCTTAAGTTTGACTGTGCTCATTGTGAGATGTGAAAGCAATAGGAACTTTGAAAGGTCCTTTTAACGTTATCATGAAACATTAGTAAGAGCCGCGAACTGAAAGATGAAGAGGTTCCAGGAAAATGAGCTAAGCTGTAATCCATGCTTGTGGATGTCACGTCCCTGCCAGAGACCCTGGCTCCTCTTGTAATTGCAGTTGCATTCTGAGTGACTCCTCAGGGGAGCTGGGGGAAGCAGATGAAACTGAAGCATCATCGGGTCACCAGAGTCAATGCCTAGTTCTGAACACCGTGGCAGAAACGCTGTCCCCACAAGAGAGAAATTTAATTCCTTGCAACCAGTGGGTGGTAATTCTAGTTTCTCTACACCACTTAAAATCTGGAAAAATAATTAGATCCTCAATTTCAGGGCAGAGGGGTTTTTTAATTTTTTTTTTTTTTTTTTTTTTTTTTTTTTTAGCGTGTTCTGCTATCCTGGTGTAGTAATTATACAATGATGTCAGCTGGAATCGATAATGAAGGCAAAATTTGGGAATAGTAACAGGATGTGTTACTGCTATTGATCAAAGGCTACAGGGCTGTTTTTAAACACTGCTCCTCTCTTTGGTCTTTTTTTCTTATTGATTGAGCAGAGTAGATACAAACAACTGTCTGTGCAACATGAGCATTTATTATGGCTTTTAAGCTGACTAAGGACAGCTTTGAATTAAATATGAGAGTTTAAATGATGGTTTTCTAATAAGTGCTGTCTATAAAGACTGGCGTGACAATACAGTTTCATGTAAGCATGGTGGAAGGAAATGTAAATACAGGCATTATTTTTCTTTCTTACTCAAAAAGAAGATAACATATTGCAAAACTGATTATAGGAGAGGCAGAAGTGCTATTTTTAATACGAAGTTATGTGTGGGCAAAAGCTGCTTTTCTATTTTTTTAATATATAGTTATGTGTGTCGTGCTGTTAACAAACTGTATTGTCTTATCTTGGCATTTTTCAAGACTGTTGTGTAAATTAGTCATCTTAAAATGTGGATACAAATGGAGCTACCAGGTACAATCTGGTAGTTCTGCAATCACTTCAATGAAATTAATAGAAAACTTTCCATTGACTGTTTAATGAGTTAGATTGGACCCTGGGCTGTCATTGTTAATGCCTTGGAAAGGTCAGTATTGATTTCCTGGCATCCTTTTTGTCTCTAAGGAGGCTCTTCGTAATTCTGTGGAAGACACAGTGATAATGTTACTCCTCTTCCTGTATAATTTAAGTTCTACCTACCATCCAAGGCTTTTGGCAAAAACAGACAGACTGAAAAATGTTGCATTTTTGGGAAGTTGTTTATATCTTAGATACCCAAATAATATTTCTGTATAATTTCAAATTTTATCCTGCCGCTTCAGGTTATTTTGAATTTTATTTCAGTATTGTACTGCTGTTATTTTTCCCTGCTGATTTGGTATGTTGAAAGAAAAAAAAAAAAAAGACTCTTCCTGCAAATGGAATCAGCCTGCCATGTTGCAGTGTAGAAAGTAAGCTGTGTTGCCTTTAAAGTAATGCACTGCAGACCATGGCATGCACAGGGAGAGCTACACATCTCTGGGCATCCAGATCTTTGCATTCCTACCTTTTCAAAACCACCCAAAGCCTCTGCAAAGTTTCCACTAAGTGGGTAGTTTGTCTTGCCATGAAAAGGTTATTTTCACTAAGTCAGTGCTGTCAGTGTGCTAAAATGTTGGTATTATTCTGTTTTGGAAGCTTGCTTGGGCTGGCTGTGCAACAGGCCTGAATGAAATTGTTTCTCTGGCTCTGCTGTGTAATGCACCATGTGTTGGAAAGCACAGGGTTTGCTTGTACAAGTAAATGGCTCTGCTGGATGGACTGCAGTCCTTGCAACAGGAATATAAATCCACTATAATAAAATAAAATAGAGGGCTTGGAGAGAAGGGAGTCCTGGGAAGAGGGCCAGGGAGATTCACTTGTAATGCTGATGTTTGAAATGGATAAGCCGTGTCCTTAGTTTTCTTCCGAAATGTGTAACGTGCCCCGCTTGCCACAGGAGAAGAAGAAAGAATCAAGTATTAATTCTTGAAAATAAATCAAGTGGAGTATTGACATCTAGGGTCTCCTGGATATGAGTTCATTGACTCACTGTCATGCTTTCTTTGATTTTCAGGATACTGGGGTTGGGAAATCGAGCATCGTTTGTCGGTTTGTCCAGGACCACTTTGATCATAATATTAGTCCTACTATTGGGTAAGTACCACACAAAATACCACTTTGCTTTTCACTGGTCAGTGAGGTTTCAAATCTGACCCTTGAGTGATTTAAGTCCAGAGGTCCTACATCCAAAACAGTCTAAAGTGGGAAGCTCTTGACAAAAACCAAAGCCCCACAACCCAAGAGGCTGTGACCTGCACAATGATCAGGTCATCCCATAGTTTAGTAATGGCAGGAAGACCATGAGAAGCCCTTAAAATACTTCTGTTGAGTATCCTGGTAGGCTAGGCTGGAACATGGACAGTGTCTGTTTCCCCATGTGGATGTGCTTTTGTCTAAGTTTAGGATGTGTCCCATTTTCCTTTGTTAAAATAGGAGCAATGCAATTTAAACTAAGTATAATTAATTTATATCACTTCTTTAAAAACTGCTAGGCTTCCATGTATCATACCATCAGAATCCTAATAGTCCTGTAGTAGATTTTAAGTCAGATTTTTCTTTTTCTTTTAATATCTCAGGGACAGATTTTCCAAGTCCAATGCGACTTGGAAAATTTTTGAAGTTATGGATCTCTTGTGGGAAAGGAAGCTATTACGGAATGTACAGAAAGGAGTAATCTGGGGGGAAAGGGCTGATCTGGCATGTGTGTCAGAGGTGTTTTAAGTCATCTGTGAAGGATTGGTATTGACTGCTGTGTGTTGTTCAGAGGGTTGGACAGTACCTTCTGAAGCTCTGCCTCATGGAGGAGTCTCAGCTGGAAGCTGCACGTAGAAGTTCCAGGACAATTTTGGATTCCTGAATGAGAATAGAGAAAAATGGACAGAGAGAAAGGAAGCATGTCATGAATAAAATTGCTGGCTGAAGACTTGTTTGCAGTGAAAGAATTGATGGCAACTTGAGTGGGTTTTTCTTACTTCTAAACCGTTAGCAGCCTTTTTCCCCAAGTAGTTGTTGTTGCTAAGTAAATGCCTTCTGCTCAATTTGGAAAACAATTTTCCTCTCTTATCATAATTATGAAAACTAAAGGGATTTTGTTTTTTCCATTGGGAGATTAAAAGATAGCTAGCTAGCTTCACACAGGTGATATTATTTGTCTGCACAGATAAGTGTTTTTTTTCTTTCAAATTATTCAACTATTTCAAATATATAATCCTTGAATCAACAGTAGCCACTGTGGATCTATACATTTCCCTTTTTTGAAGCTGTGAAGTGTTGCTTATTTGTTTGGGAAGGAGTGTGACAACTGAGTGAACACACCCTGAAAACAACCAAAGAAATGCTGCCTTTTTTTCCCCCTTAGTTAGTATTTTCATAAACAATGCTGCATTGTTAAATTCAAGCAATTTGCAGATGGCTGTAGGGGAGAACTCTGCTATATCATTCTCAGGAAATGTTTTGTTCAGTCATATGTCATTTGATGTCATTCGGTGCTTTTGTAACGACCATGCATTGTATCCAGTGCATCTTTATGAGCCAGGAAAAATGTTACCACAACAAAAATGGTTCAGCAATACCCAGATAGGATGGGAAAAATAGAAATCTGCCAGAGTTTGGCAGTCTCTCTACCAGCTTTCAAATTAACTGCTGTAATACAGAAAAAGCCTATAAATTTGTAACCTTATTTCCTAAAAGAAAAAACTTTGAAAATATAGACCTATTTCATTTCCTCTGGAAAATAAAAGAAACTATGAAGACTTCTTCATCCCAGCTGAAAGGGAGAACAACTTTTTTGCATTTGTTTGCTATGTGCACTTCAGCAGGTGACTTTTCTGTTCCCTGGTGATCCAGTGTCATATGTTAAAGTGAAAAGTGGCACACAATGTTGTCTGTTGCCTTTCTCTCAGGTCTGTGCCACCAAGAAGATGGAACTAACAAGCAGCAGAAGCCAAGTGTGAGTGGCAGGAACATTTGTGTTCCTGGACCCATGAACTGAACTGAACTTCAGAGGCTTTTCCCTTCTTTTTCCTTCTTTTAAAAAAGTACATCTATAAGTTGTATATGTCCTGTCTGAGAAAAGGGAGACTTCTGCAGGTATTTTATCAAGGTTTGGAGTTTTCCCCAAATGCATTCGAATCCAGAAGAACTCACTTAGGTCTACAGGTTATATATTCAGAGTGTCAATTATGTTAAAAATGTTGTCTTCCTTATTTCTAGAGCATCCTTCATGACTAAAACTGTGCCATGTGGGAACGAGCTTCATAAATTTCTGATCTGGGACACAGCTGGTCAGGAACGGGTGAGTATTAGTTTGCAGAATGCTTTCATGATCCTGGTCTCTCTTAATGTGTTGATGTACTTTTTCTAAACCTTTCATCTTCAGAACTTTGTAAGTATCGACCTCCTGAATCTTTGTGAGGCTCTGCAATGCAGGTGGCCAGCAGGCACCAAGTATTCAGGTTCCCTTACCATGGATGGCAAAAATGCAGAGACAGGCTGACCATATCACTTACCTAAAAAAACCCCAAACCATGGTGAGAAATGTCACCCACCTTCCCCAAGACAGCTTGAGCAGTGCCCCAGCAACATCCAGTTCCCCTCTGGTTTCATCAAGCTTGTGTGTGGCAGCTCTCATTGGCATTGGAAAGGCTTTGACTTGCAGCCCATGGGCTGGGTGGTCTGAACTTAGGTGGTGACTCCGGGGTTTTCTTGGATTGGGACAGTCAATATGGGCATGGCCTGTGTCTGCCAGTGGTATTTATATTGTAAGAAATTACCACCTGAACCACTTTGGGTTTTTATCTTGATTTTTCTCAAGATTATGAAGCGAATTGCTCAGATTGAGCAGCTTTTCCTCTGACTTTTCAAAACAAAAAACTCAAAACCATAACGGATTTTTGGACATTAGTTCCTCTGGACTGTATGTAAGTCTGGTTGATTTTTTTTTTCCTTTTAATAGCCTCAGTGACAGTAGTGCAGTACTAGACTCTAGACTGTAGAGCTGTAGGTTTCTCTTAATGTATGTCCACGTTTGTCTTGAGAAATGGAAAAACCTATGCACACTTCTAGAACATAAAACTTGTGAAATGGCACAGTGTCTCTTCATAGGAAATTGTAGCTATGCTCACATTAGGTTGGGATAAAATGTGATGCTTATACAGACTGGATGTCTGTCCTGATACATCCTACTGTGTTCTCCATACTTTGTATGTGAATTGTGGGCAAAGAAGATTTTTACTTTTAATTGCAGGAAATGTTTGTGCTTTTATTTATAATATACAGTGTGAGATAAAGTGACTCTGATGAAATCTGTTGGCTCATAACAATTCAGTAAGTTATTTGTCATGGGAAAATGGACCTTGAAAAACATATTTGAAGCCTAATTCCTTCCCCTGAATCTTGTTTGTTCCATTTCTGCATGGTCTGGAGCTGATAACTGACTATTTATTGCAAGAGCTAGCAAAAGTTTGGTTTGCTTTCCCATGGTTTCAGTTTCCTTGCTTATTTTCTCTCTTTTCCCTCTACTACCCTGCTTTCCTTGCTTTTTCTTTTCTTTTTAGCACTTTACAAACAAAACTCAGTTGGATTAATACTTATATCAAGATTGTCTATTTTCCTACTTAGTCTAAGAACTCTCAAAGCCCTCTAAAATTAGGTGAATAGTAATATTCATATTTACATATCTTCTGAAACAAACGATGCCTCATTTGAGGCAGGAAATCTGTGACTGTTCTCTGACTCTTGGACACAAAATTCATCCTTCCCAAATAGTCCCTTATGTTTCCTCTCAATTTTTTTAGCTCACCATTTTTCAAACATCTGCTTTCCCTTTTTTCGTGTGTGTGTGTGAAACTGTGGTGACCAGTGAGCACCACAAACTTTGTTAGATTGCTTAGAATTTATTACAGATACAGCATGTTAAAGGTTTTCATTAATTAGTGATCACGAATTAGTCCAGGGACCATCTTTTTATTCTGTGTTTGCGCATTATATTCCCAGTCTTTCACTAGGACTAGGAAAGTGTAGTGATATAGTAAACCAAGTTCATTGGTGTTGAGTGCAAGCTATGGAGGCAGACAGGTTTCCCAAGGTGAGGTCCATACTGGTCCAGGTCATTCGCTGTCCTAGAACATTCCTGTTTTACATTGCAGCTAAACCTATGATGCTTCTCAATACCTTACTCACTTTAATCAGGGATTTTTGGTTGCTTTGTTTTGTGTTCCTCCTTCTGATTTAAGAAAAATGTCTCCCGCTGTTAAATCTTTTCTGGTTATCCTCTGAACAACAATGATGACCCAACATTTCCAGCCTATCCCACCTTCTGGGCCTATTGCTGTTTTCACAGTGTACTAATAAATGTCTTCTGAATGTTGTTTCTGCTTTGAGAATTGTCCTTTCCTTGTTCTTTGCAATTTTTGTCGAGGCTTTGTGTTCCACTGCTGAAGCCTGGCAGTTCTGTCAGTCTGAGAGCAGTATTTAGGACTCTGCTCTTTCAACATTGCCTTCATTTGGCTTCTCTCTCCTAAATGCAAGACCAAGCACAGGCTTCTGCTTACTCTGGAGTTGGGGTGCCCTGTGCTTTCCCAGCTGTGCCAGTGTGCTGATGTGGAGCAGAAGAGCCCTGGGCTGAGATTTAAATGAGGCCTCACTTATGCCATGGAAGTTGAGCTCAAAGCTTAACCATGGTAGAGCATGCAGGCAGAAACAACAGTAGTGGCACTTCCGTGATCCTTGTTCATGAGTTTGTCCTTTTTAATGAGTTTTCATTTCCCTGTTCATGATTTTCTCTGGGAAACTGCAAGCTTGGAGTCAATGCTGCAGAGTGACAATAATGCAGCAGAAAATGGAGATTAAAAGCTTTTCTATTGTATCCCTGATGGGGGTGAATGCTGAGCGTGCTTCTTAGGAGGGGACCCTGGAGAGGGGTAGGTGGCTTGTGGTGAAAAATTCACAGAGTACATGATTATAAAAGAAGAGAGAGCTTCTTAATCCTTTTATCTTGGTTTTTTTTTTTTCTTTCCCTTTTTCTTGACTAGAAAGAAACAAGCTGGCAAACAAAATCCCCCTATCTTCTGTGCATAAGGACTGGTCTCTGTGGACCTGGTTGCTTTGTGTTGGTGTGCTATCCAACTAACTCGCTTTATTTTTTTTTTCACAGTCACCTTCCCTCCACACCAGTATTTCCCAAATGTCACTTTTCCCCCTCCTATCGCACGTTTCCCCATTAGCTTTGAATTGTTGTAGACTTTGGGACTTACATGCCCAACAATTATGTTGTTATTAGCAAAGATTCCCTCCCCTAAGAAGAGTCTCCTCGCAAGTTAGTTAATGATGTTTTTATTAGCATATATTTTGGTTCATGGTGCCCTAAGTAGCTTTTAATTACAATGTTTTGTTTGAATACGTTGGGTGGCTGCCAGCTTTCCATTTTGCCAGCTGAGGAATATTGTAGCAAACAGGGAGTCTCAGGGCCGTGTTTCTAGGGCAGGAAAATTTATCTCTGTCCTTTTAAAATTTACTTTGTTGAACTCTGGGACTTTTAATTTTGTTTCATAGAAGAGGCCTCAATTACTTGAGCCCAGTTTAAAGCTCGATAGGAATTATCCTGAGTTGTGAACTTTTTCTTTCTTTGTTTTTTAACCTTCTCCATTTTCAGGAAAAGACTGACTGATGACATGTCCACAGCTCTTTATAGCTGCCTTTTTTTGAGTGGCAGTAGTTGTCCTGGTGATTCAGAGACAGTGGCACAACACCATCTATCAATGACTTGAATTATTTCTGCAGGCAAAACACAGCCTGAATTTTGCTCTGTGGTGTCATAAATGTGGCTTTGATGGTCTCCCACAGCTCAGTCAGAGTGGGGGTGGTTCATTGTGTGTGGTGTGAGGACCTCTTGCATGCTGCAAATGTTGACAGGTGATTTGGCAGTGTGTGAGAGCACAAGTGGCATTAGAGCTAGAAAGCGAATATTTTTACTACTTTCAGAGTGAGCATAAAGCACAGTAAATCATTTAAGGGATGCATTTAAATGTGTTTTTTCTTAAGCTTCAGCAAACTTGCAGCACTTGTAGCTTGGTGCTGAGTCATGGTTTTGGTGTCTTGTCTTTTGCATCCTTTGTTTAATGACTGTAAACTTCAGAATGGCTAAGCACAGGTCGCTTCTGTGATGTTGCAAAGGTTTGTTTTCTGCCTATTTAAAATACCTTTAAAAGGTTAACCTAAAATGTTGAGATTTTTCCTTCTTCAGTTGAAGAATTCTTAGGAATTGGAAAAAAATGCTCACTCTTTTATATATATAGATGTGTATTTAATCTTCAGTTTAACTAGCGAAAAATACCTGTAGATCAGAGACAGATCTTTCCTGATTTACTCAGCTTGCAAATCCTGAGAGCTGGAATTTCAGCCTTTAATCATGTAAGGAAAACTACTCAAGGTTTTAAAATGCTAAATGGTATCTGAAAGTGGCTTTCATGCATAACATTTTTCCCATTTGCTCTTTGCCAGCTGAGAATGTCAGGAATTTTGTATCCCTCCCCTGTTCGAGAAGCTTGTGTGTCAGGATAATCTGTTTAATGCTTTAGGGTTTTGCCTTTGCTTCTCTCTACACCACCATAATTTTCTGTTTGTTGGCAGCCACTGCCTTGAAGGTGGCAGGAGTGGGGCATGTAACTCCCCAGACTTGGGCAAATGTACTTCAGGTGTTTTTTGGGACAGGACTGAAGGGGTTTTGTGGGAGTGGCCTGGCAGGAAGGGCCAAGGGCAGGAGAAACACCCAAACACCCAAACTCATCTGCAGAGATGTGGGAATGACCTGCTGAGTGAAGGGATGTGATATATGTTTGAGATAAGAGTCCAGAAGGCAGGAGTGGGTGTAATAGGAAGGGGAAGGAAGTTGCAGGGCTGTGACGCTGCCCTTGCACGTGTTCGCAAGCAGCTGAGCCAGAGGCGGTGGCTGTCCTTGCCATTAGTGGCACCCAGATAAAGAGTAAGAGTAAGGATCTCTGACTCTGAGAGGAACCAAGTGGTTTGGTCTTGGCCACTCAGATGCAACATATGTTGTCAGAGAACAGCTTCATAGGGAAGGGAATGAAATTTAGTCAAATGATCACAGCTGTCAGGAAGCAAATCTTGTGCTGCCATGCACCTGCAGGTGCTTGAGAAGGCACAGTGTAGGAAAATCATAGCTGAATTCAAAGTGTGTAACACTTGCTGAGAGCTGGTGTGATCCTGCTCAGTCTGTGCACCCTTATCCTTTCCAGCTGTGCTCATGGGCAGAATTATAATCCTTTTGCAGTAAGAGCAGGTGATGTTCTTTACAGTCTAGAATAGTAAAAGCAACCAAGTGCAGGAGTTAGGTGGTGGTTGTAGTTGTTGCTTTTGCTTTTGCTTTTTTGCCTCTTGACTTGGAGTTGGGAAGAGGCAGCCCTGCTGCGGCAGTATGCCAGTCCTGGGTATAGCACCACAGGATGGTGCAGAGAGCTGCTGACATGAATTAATGTTCCCTGGTGTGCCTGGCAGATTGAATGAATCCCAACTGTCTTCAGCAGCATTTGTCAGCCTGTATATAAACAAGCAGGAGTTGTAGTTTTTATTTCTGTGTTCATTTGGCCTCTGTTTTGCTTTCTAAATCAGCATTATATTAGACAGGGTTAAGAGACTTCCACTACCACAGCTCAGGTGTGATTTATGCTGTTTTCTCTTGATTTTGATTTTCAGTTCCAAGTAGGATGTGATGGTTTTCCTTCTTCCCCATTCTTTTCTTTTAGTAAAGAGGAAGGATGGTGTTACCTGTGACCAAATACGCCCCTCTGTTATGAGCTGCACAGGAAGCAGAAAGCAAAATATTATGCTGCTTTTAAATAGGTGGTAAATTCCTTAAGGGCTACTTGGTTCTATCTTTCTGTCCTTTGCAAGGGCAAAGCTTCTGTTGACTTCATTGAGATGGCCAGGTGAGGGGTTGCAGAATCCCAAAATACTCCTGGAATCCATGAGAGAAACTCTGATTGTGCTCAGCTTGCATTTGCACCGTGTAAGACTGAATTTGCTGCCTGTACTATGGGGCTCTACAGCTGTAAAGGGTTGGGCAGCTTCTAGTTGGACCCTTGGGTTCTGCTTTCACAGGAAATTTCATCACGCACATGTGGCCTCACTTCTTTGCTTAGTGTCAGAGATGATGAACCACAAGTGCAAAGTGGATGTGTTGGTAGAGGAGCACAAGGAAGAAGGTGCCCTGAGCCCAGTCAGCATTGTGCCAGGATTCAGGTGACTGTAGGTATGGAGCACGCTGTGTGTCTCCCAGGAGGAGAGTCCTGGAAGTCTGCATGAGGTAATTGATTATGGGTTTTGGCATGTCTTTGGAAAAATAAGTTTCTTATTTATATTTTGAGTGGTCCTTTCAGCCTGGCTGTTGGATTGGAAAATGTACCCCTGCAACTTGAGTATGGCACTGTGTGGATTAGCAGCCTCAGCCTCACCAGTTATCAACCTCTCCAAAAGCAAAATGGTACTAATGAGTGAAGCAGTTGGTCAAATAGGCAAACCTTTTTTGAAGGACACAGAGTGAGAGGCATGAAACTTCTAAATTCCCTCAGTAGGTGACCTGCTAATGGTAATTTACTCATTATGCAGAGATGAGAGGTTTTCCCAGTGCTTAGAAGGTGGAAAGCAGTTGAGATGAAGTTTGGTAGTGTAAGTACCAAGGTTCTGTATTTTTTGCTCCTAACAGAAATATATGCTGTAAAGTTGTAGGTGAGTTTTTAAATTTTGAGATTTTTTTGGGAAACAGAGGAGAAAAGCCACCTCTGGATTATTCACCAGTTAAAGGATGATCATGTATGATGCAGCCATGAGAAAAGTGTTAGGGGATGTGCAGTTAAGGCTGTTCATTCAATGTCTATAATGCTGCATAGAAACCTGGTCACCAGCAGCCAGGAAAAATGAGCTGAAGCTGGACCAGGCACAAGTAAAGGTGATTAGACCCTGATTTCTCCCTTTTACATTATCTACAGAGTGTAAGAGCCTGGTATAGCAGACTGGCAAAGTTAAATCTGGTATCTTGTCACTCAGTATTTCAGCTGAAGTCAAGTAGTGATCCCTTAATTTTACTAAGTCAAAGTGCAAGAAAACTACAAGTAATTTAGTAATTAGGAATTCGAAATATTATTAATTGTCGAAGTAATATGATCTGTGTAGCAGTATAATGAAAACAGAAAACTATTTTACACAGAACATTGATCAGCTTTTGAATTGGGTTAGGAGTGTGATTATTTGTGATGGTGGGAGCTGATAGAAATCTCTTTCTGGTCTGTGTTTTCCTGTTAGGCCAAGGGGATGTGAGCTGCTGCTGCCTGCAGGAAGGGGTGATATCTGCCAGAATGCTGCTCTTGTCTACAGGTTATGGAGGGGCTGACTCCCTGGAAAGCTGGGGCTGTAACCCGAGTGTTTGTCTGGCAGAGCCAGGAGTGGCTGCCTGAGCATTTTTAGGTGGCCCTTCTCAAGCAGTGTTGTTTTTATGCCAAATCTCGAACTGCTTCTTCTTCTCCTAATTTTCTTGGGAATTACTGGTTACAGAAATACTGAACTATAAAATAATGATTATAGACATTATGGTTTATAATGCAGAAGGCAGTCCTGTGAGATTTAATTTTGTGAGCTGTTTTTTTGTGTGTCATTTGTTTTGGGCATCTGTCCCACATTTGGTCCTTGGCAGGTGAAAAATGTGCAGATTAGTATTTTGTATCCCTTTAATTAATTTGGTGTGACTCTCTTTTTCCAATTAATTAGGCCAGAAAAATGTTCAAGAGGACTTTGCTTTTGGGCATTGATTTAAAAGAAAAATAAACCTCATTACTTGCACAATATTGGAAAATTCATGTTCATGAAGCATATTTGTTAAGAGTCTATCAGTAGATCATGAAACTCATGCAGTTACAATTTTTCAGCCCCTCTTCATTAATTCAATGTTGCAAAGAGGCTTTTCTTGTTTTCTTCTAGAAAACAGTGATTTCTTGTGACTGGGACATAATGTATTGTTATGTTTGTTGATTAGCCCGTATAAGAGAATGACAAAGGGCTTTTTTTTTTTTTTTTTTTCTTTCTGGCCCTCATATTCTTCAGTGAAGCAGCTGTTAAGGGAAGTGTTCTTGTCAGCTGGTCAGAAGAAAAGGGAGAGAAATTCCCAAGATGTTGTACAGGTTCTCAGTGTGCTTTCAGGGCCAATCTTGAAGGAATTTGGAGTATGTGAGTTTAACTGCATGGCTCCAGTGAAGTGTGATTAATGTTATCTGAGAGCTCTTTGTAAATTCATGAATACTGTGTAATCTAGATTAAAATGTAATCTAGATTAAGACCAAATCAGCATGTGTGTAGGGTTTGAATGTTTTTTTCCTGGAGTTTACAGACTGGGAGGAGTGTGCATACACCATGAAAGGTCAGACGTATCCTCCACAGTTAAGGTTCCTGACTTTCAGACAGCTTCAACACAACATGTTGAGGAGACAGTCTTGGGTTGAAGATGGTAGGAGATAAATTCTAGTTGCAGGCATTCAGTGACCCAGCCAGGCAAGACGCCCTCCTAGACTCCTTTGTGATTAGGAAGGATTTGAGGGATGTGGTGGTAGGTGGGATGCCTTGGCTACAGTGAAACAAGTAATGAGGCCAATGTTTTCTTTAGACCTCCTCTGCTGTTAACATACTTGAAAAAGCCCTTTTTGTTATCTCAGTGATGCCTCAAGCTCCTCAGTGTTTAAGAAGCATTTGGACACTGCCCTTAACAAGATTATTTAACTTTTAGCCAGCCCTGAATTGACCAGGCACTTGGTTTACACGATTGTTGTAGGTCCATTCCAACTGAAATGGTCTGTTCTGTTCTAACATACTGAAAATTTCTGTTGTGATTTAGAAGCCTAAAAATTCTGGAAAGCATTTACTGCATTAAGCATGCAAGTAATAAAGCTACATACTAAAACCCCAGAAAGCACACATCTACCCAACTCCCTCAGGATCTTGGCTGATCCCATTTCTTCAGACCACGCTTCTTGACTGATCCCTCTTTGTTTTCTCATCCTCTTTCCTGCTGTTTTCCCTTATTAATGAGCTCTCCCACCTGCCTCGCTCCCCAAAACACTTCAGCACTTGACCATCTGTCACTGCTGCTGTGCATCCATACTGCTATAAAAGAGAGCGCCGACCTTGAGCTGGTGTGCGTGATCTGTGACAAATAGCTTACAAACTGGCAAGTGAACCAGCACTGCAAATAAATTGCCTGATACGTTGCACGTGCATGAAATGTGGAGGCTGCTAAAAGTCTAAATGCTCAGTCAGTAGGTACAGATCTGGGAAAAAGATGTGTGCAGTAAATGTGCAGAGGTTTGCAGCGTAACACGTGGATCCGTGCGTGTTTGCCGGGCAGTGAGTTTCAGACCCTGCCCTAATAACGTGTTTGATTTACGCGCTGACCTCAGTTATTAGCTGCAGCTTAATATGCAGCTTTTGCAGATAGCTTCCCCCCCTCAAAATGATAAAATGGCTGTGTGAGCATACTGAGACTGAATGTATTTTCAAAAAAAGATTATTTTTGGTTTGTTTGAGGCTAAGCTTAGTTGAATCAGCAGAAAGACTTTTTTTACTTCCTTACTCTAATTGTAATTGTAAGCTGAAATTCTAAATCAGCTGCTTAGGCATTGGTAAATTATGAAAATTATGTTGTTCTTCAGTTGTTCTAACAAACACGTTTATTTCTTGGGTTTTTTCCTCAAAGAATGTTTTGCTTGAAACGAAAAGCTGAAGAGCAACTGCAAGAATCCATGTTTTTTGGAATATCTATCATAGTATAGGATAGGTAAACAAGACAGGTGCTCAGATTTTTCTGACAAGTTAGTTTTATACAAGTCATTTGCAGTGTTTTATAAAATTCAAACCTGAGCTGAATCCAGTCTTAGATCTACAAAGCAAGACTGTGGTTTGCCAGGGGAAGGGGTCCCCATGCCATCAGGCGAGGCTTCCAAGTGCAGTTGATCTTCCTATCAAAACTTGTCCTGAGTCCATGCCCTGTAATGGAAATGATGCATTGAATCAGTAAGGGCTGGTTTCGTAAATTAAGTGGGATCAAGAACAGCATGAGATAAAGGAGGTCTGGCTTTTTTGTGTTTGAGGAAAATGAGAGATGGGTCTGTTCTCTGTGGGATGAAAGGAAGTGGATGGTCCTGCCATAGCAAGTCTTTGAGACCTGGCAAACCATGTGGTAGTTCTGATTTATTAATGATACTTTCTCGTGGGGGTTTATGTTTTAACAGTTTCATTCCTTGGCTCCGATGTACTACCGAGGTTCAGCAGCAGCCGTGATAGTGTATGATATCACCAAACAGGTGAGACCTTTGAGATGCTTTTTGCCTGTGTTAACTCCTCTCTTTGGGTCTGAGTTGCATTTAAGCCCCACAACTGCAGAATTTAATTTGTCTGGCATGTATATGCTTCGATGGTTTGTGTAGATCTGGGTGGAGGTGTCCAACTGCCTTAAAACATGAAATAAAAAGTCCTGCTTCTGTGTTGTTTCAACTTCATGTAGACAAAAGGGTTGAGACTGCATTTTGTCAATATTTCTTTAGGTTTCCTCTAAGAAGACAGGATTCATATACTGCAATACCCCCTACCACCACCACTTATGTTCTCTGTGTTAACAAAAAGCAGCTGTAGCTTTATCATCTGAGCAGAAATTGTTTGCATATTACTGATTTAAAAACTAATTATTTTTATCTAAGCATATAATTTTATGTCTGTATTGCAGGCGTTATGTCTTAATTTTCAAACTGGTAATGAATTCATAAGTCTCTAACCTTTTGTCTCAACATTATTCATTTGGAATAAAAATTGTATTTTTAGATCCTTAACTTCTCTGGCTCATTTCTCAAGCAGAGGAGGCTAGGAGATTCCAACTGAATGCCTCTTTCACTCCTTTTGGAAGAAACCCCTGCTGATGTAGCAGAGTTAGAGGCAGTGCTAATGGATGGATGGCCAGGAGAGTTCACTGGCATTTTATTCCTTTCTTGCCAATTGACTTATTTACTGCAAGGTTGGGAGGGCTGGTTTGGTTCCCCAATGCACTGGTGTAATGATCTGTCGCTGACAGTGGTGGTCACTGTTGTGCAGCAGTGCTGTTCTCCACTGCTAATTTGCCAGGAAAAGGTGAGGAAGAGCAAATCGTGCTGGATTGATACTTTTGATTTAAATATCTTACAGCTGATCTTGTAATATATTGTAAGAATAAAATTTTGTTTTGCCAGCCTTTCTCCAAGCTTATGTGGAATGACTCTCAGAATAAAGAGGGGGAAATAGGAGAGGAAGGTCAATCTGTATTTCACTTTCTGATGCTTAATATTCAGTGTTAATCATTAAAGCAGAATGGCTTTTTTTTCCCAAGTGACTGATAGGGCTCTGCCTTCGGTGATACTGATGCAGCTATTGCTGATTTAGAGACAACTCTTATGTGCATTTCTGAAGGGGAAAAAAATATTTATCATCTGTTTGGGAGCTCACTTTGTCAGGAAGAATTTCAACTGTGCTTTATAGTTAGAATCTCCAGAAATAAGTGTTACCTTAAAGCTACTACTTCACTGGTGTAAAGAAATATAAAAATTACTATTAAAAGGTAGGTAGCATCAGATACAGTTTGATTTTGTGCTTGGAGAGGAAAAAAGCCAAGTGAATTGTCACCTCTCTCTTCAGTTTCATAATGAGTAAATTGAGTAAATTGAGTTTACCAGATCACAGATTTGGAAATGCAGGGAAGTGGGCATCTCTGTGGAAGCTCCATTGGATATTAATTAGACAAATGAAGCTCACACTAGGTGAAGGAAATGAGCTATTAGATAAGCTGGGGTAGTTTCTTCATCACTGGAAGTTTGATATTTGGTGCTGCGTTGTAGCACGGAGGAGGGGAAGTGGAAAAGAGGGAAGCATCCAAGTTCAAGAATTAATTTGAAGAAGCCTTATGGCCTAAAGCTTGAAAAGCAAATTGCATAGATAGATAACTGATCTTCCAGTCTTGTGATCTATATAATCATTATTGCATTAATACTGTCAAAGCTGTGCTCCTCTGCTTTAAAAAAATAGGCAAATACATTGGCAAAGAGTGTGCTGGTAGCTTATTTTGTTATTTCTCTGATGCAGGATTCATTTCATACTTTGAAAAAATGGGTGAAAGAACTAAAAGAACATGGTCCTGAAAACATTGTAATGGCCATTGCTGGAAACAAATGTGATCTTTCTGATATCAGGTAATACTTTTTGTTGTTGTTTTCATTGTGGTAACTATATTGTTTCTTCCCGTCAGGTAACAATTTTGTTTCATTGTTATAACAGTATATAATTTTGGCCTCCTGTGCTAGAATCAGTGATTCTAGCAAGGCACAACCTCAACAACAGCAGCGCAACGTGAATTACATTTTTTTTAACTTCTCTTTTACTGCCCTTCCTCTTTATTTGTTCAATATCTACATTCTTTATCTGCTGAATCACTGGGAATGGAAAAGGGTTCTCTTTTTTGTTTCTCCCTTCCATTCTATTAAAAGGTGCAGAATGTAGTAAGTAATGAGCAAAACCAGCAATATAAAGATATGAGGGTGGGCAAGAGGTAAAATATTAATCACAGAACTTTGAGAACTTGTGATTTGCAAGAACTGAAACTTTTTCATAATAATGGATGTTGAAAGTGTATTTTTGGGATTTTTGGAGCACATCCTCGTGTAAAACTTTAGTCCCCTGTGTGAAGCAAAGAATCTCCTAGATAAAAGAGGGAAGGGTTGAATCCATACCTCTGCGGAAGAGCTGAGATGATGCTATTTGTAATGAGAGTGAAGCTAGAATTGCTCTTCTGTTTGTTAGCTGTATTTTGGATTTGCATTTATCCTTTCAGGAAATGGAAGCACATTCTGCTATACAATAGTGATTCAGTTTGTCAGTCCATGACTATTATTTCTTGCTTCATCTATGAGTACAAACTCAATGATCATATTTGATTCTTTCCCCTTATGACCTCATAGGCTCTCATGGATGTTCAAATACATCCCCATATCTTTAGTTATCGTTACTTTGGCCCAGATTCACCAGAGCTCTGGAGCACGTGTGTAACTTCAAGTAAGTGCTGCAGTGCTTTTCTTGAATCAAGGCCTTCCATGAGGGTTTGACCTGTGTGGGTTTTGTTTTTTTCTCTCCCCTGCCACTCTCAGCCATGAACCAACACAAAGTTGCAACTCACTGCTTTCTGTAAGTACTGAACAAGCCCTAATTCTGGCAAACTCCTGGTTTCTGTTGGGCTAAGAATCAGATGTATAGGCATCCCCTGTGTGATGTTGCGATATGCTGGTCAACATGGTGAAACTGAGTACAACAAGACAAAAATTTCCAGATATGAAGGAGAAAAAAAGAGGAAAGGATGGTTATAAAAATAAAACCAAAAGCCAGTTAGCACAAATCAGGGGTTTTGGTTACCCTGAGAGTCACTTTCAAAATTATTGCGTAAGTGGTCTCAGCAATACAGTTGCCAGATTAACTCAAGGGTAATAAGTTTGGAGATGGTGACAAATGGCAACAATTTTAAAAGAGTCCATAACCAGCCCTCTCCCTGCTTGCTCTTGCACCAATTGAAGGCTTTAAAAGAATCCTGCATCCCAGAAATGTTGTGAAATACTGGGCCTCCTCACAGAGCAACTGTGATCTGTGATCTTCTCACCATATTATTATCAACAACTACCTGTAGTTTCCTGATTGCTGATCATCCAATTCTTGCTCCTGTTCAGCTGGTATAACTCTTCTTTGCACAAATTGTTTTGCTGTGTGAATGGTCCTCATTGTACTCCATAAGCTAATGTCTCTTAATCTTTTTGGTTTTTATGGGAGAGGACATTTTTTCTCCTTGTAATTATGAATACTTTTTTGTGCAGTTGTTCTTTCTGCATCCCCCAATCCTATTTCTTGTTAAAGTTATCCAGTGATGTGCAGCTAAAGTTATTTTGGTGGAAAAATAGAGAGTAGGCTATCTCATATGTGATATATTTTCACAGTTCTTCCAGAAATCTGATTGTTTATGCAATGCATGCAGCTTTTTGCATTATCTGTCTGCTTTATGTCTTCAGATTTACTTCAGTAAAAATGGTTTTAGGTGAAACATGTCACCAATTTATCAGATTGTTTCCGATGAGTAGAAAATACTCATGCCTTTAGGCTCAAAGAATTTACAAGTAAGATAATGTGAGCACACAGGAGCAAGCTGCTGTTTGTATGCATTTTTGGCATCTCTGCTTGGTTTTGTAGGGCTTTTGGCAGATGTTTTGCTGGAGATCAGAGAGACAGCTGCTTTTAAGACCAATATGAATAGATGCAAAAGAGGTCAAGCTGACCTGGTTCAAGTTGGTTTGATTCTGCCATCTCTGAGTGTAAGAGATAATGTAAGGAGGAATTATTGTATTTCTCATAATCATTGACCAGGCTACCCTCCCTGTTTAGCATCTAAAATTTAGTTTTGAGCCGCCAAGATGTCCTTGGGACACTTAGGGATCACACTGCTTTTCCTCAATGTTGTTAATAAGCTATCAGCAATTCTTGGTGCTCTGTTGAAGTAAATTTCTTCTCCACTTGGAAGGATTTTCTACAGATAGGCAAGCAATTTTATCAACTATAAATCCTCATCTTTGTTGTAGTACTGTCAACTCTTAGAACTGCTGAATGTTCAGCATACTTCTAAGTAATAGGAATAAGGCTTTCTTCTGACAGGTCATTAAAAAGTACTTTTAAAGACAGGAGCTGAAACTTCAATGTTAAAATGTTGTAAGTGTCCATAATACTTTTTTGAGCATTATAGAATTCAATAGTTGTAACACTAGCTAAGAAGTGTTCACTTCCCTAAAAATGTGGTTCACCTTTTTAACAAATTGTGTTCTCTGGAAATCCTTGGTTAAGAGAATTCAGCAGAATTTCATGCTCAGATCTTCATTCAATGCATCCATAATATTTCCTTGTTCCATAATTTATCTGGACTTCTTCAAATCCTTTGACATGGTCCTTTACAACATCTTCTCTAAACTGCAAAGAGATGGATTCGATGGGTGGCCTGTTTGATGGGTGAGGAGTTGGTTACACTGTCGCATCCGGAGGGTGGTGGTCAATGGCTCAGAGTCCTGCTGGACACCAGTGGTGTCCCTCGGGGATCCACACTGAGACCAGTGTTATTTAATACCTTCAGCAATGACAGAAGGGATTGAGTGCACCCTCAGCAGTTTGCTGATGACACCGAGCTGGGTGATGTGTCTGACACGCTCATACTGGGAGGAAAGTGTACGAGGAGTCTCTGGATTGGTATATTGGAGCTGTGGGGTGAAGCAGTTGGTGCAGATTGTGCTGTTGCTCAAAAATCAGGAGTAGAGGTGGTTACAGATAGCAGCACACACGGGCAGATCCAGCTCTGCCACCTGGCTCAGGGAGACACAAGGCCAGCATAGGGCTAGCTTGTTTAAAGCAGAGGTCTTTTTGAATGTTGTAAACTGCATTTGCCAGCTTTTGACATATGCAGTATTGGTTGCAAAATGAGAGTATTTGGTCTGCCGGTGATTTTAGGATGGTGTCAGTTTGGTGAAATGGCACAGAATGGTGTCTTTCCCCAGGGAACTGGCACTCACAGATTACTGTTGCTGATGTTCTTGAAGTCAGTGGTTTTCTTACTTACTTCAGAATCTCTCATTTCCTTGCTGCTTGCAGACCAAGACATATGATGCTCTTATCGTTTTCATCCACAACGTTGTACCCTATCTTGTTCGAACATTTGGCATGTGGAGAGTGCTTTTCTTATCAAAGTCAAATATAAAACACAAACAAATGTGATTTTCTTTAAATTATCTTCCTTTTCTCAAGGCATGGATTCAGCAGCAAGTCACAGAAATCTGCAGATTGATAAATTTTGTTGAAATTTTGATATATTTTAATAAGGTGATCTAAATGCCATATGATGAAAGACAGTACTGCTTTTATGGAGATGAAGAGCATAATAATGCTTAGGCTGTGTTTCAGGTTGTTTGGAGGTTTTTTTTAATTAATTCACTTTTATTTTTTTTTTTAATTTGGCTTTCTTTTATTTATTTATAATTTTTTTTTTCAGGGAGGTTCCTATGAAGGATGCCAAAGAATATGCAGAATCTATAGGTGCAATTGTTGTTGAAACCAGTGCAAAGAATGCTGTTAACATTGAAGAACTTTTTCAAGGAATAAGTAAGTATATGTTCTCTTTAATTAATTAATTTGATTGTTTAGAAGTTTTCTGAAAATAGCTGTCTGTTTCAGGTCTATAAAGTACTTTCCAAAGGACATCAATAAATCCTACAAAGCCTGTGGTACGGCTGCTATTTATGCAGATGTAAACTAAGAACATCTTTGAATACACCAGAGCAAAACATAGTAGATAGTAGATAGAGGGTAAGCCTGTTCCTTCTAAATCTGTATATAAATCCTGGCCTGGATCACATCTGCTGTTTCACACCAACCCTGCTGTAGAGGCAATGCTGTTGATCTTATTATCATGTTGCTAAAAAAATAAATGTTGATAAATGCTCCTGGAGGGCATTGGTAAGTAGAAGGTAGTCATTGCAGTGGAATACATTAAAACCCCAAACAAATACATTTCTCTCCAGGTCTTCTAAACATGATGAGATTGGCACTTGTCATGAGGAGAAGAAAAACTTCTTCAGTTTGCCTTCCAGGGCTTCCAGTGCTGGTCACTGTTTGCAAGTGGGAAGGATCTTGTGGGCTGGAAGGAACCTCATCAGAACTTGAGTCCAACTTTCTGCCCGAGCAGACTTGGTAGTGAATTCAGACCAGATTGCTCAGGCCATTGTCTGGCTGGGCACCAGAGCAGAGGTTCCACAACCTCCTTGGGCAGTTGTTCAAATAGTCCTCATAGTGACATCCCCACATCAAGCCTGAGCCTATTCTCATTCAATTCACTCCCTGTCCTGGGTGCACCTCACTGTTTAGTTTCTCAGCAGCCCTTCCCGTGGGCACTGACAGGCAGCTTTGTGGCTCACCACAGCCATCGTTTCTCCAGGCTCAGCTGGCCCTCTTTCCTCTGCCTCTCCTCAGAGGGCAAGTCCTCCAGCCCTCACTGTCTTGCAGCCCTCCTCTGAGTCTGTGCCAGCTTGTCAACATTTTTCTTGTGTTGTGGGGCCCAAAGCAAGTGTGACCCAGGTGGTGTTAGACCACATCTAAGAGGGGTTAACTACTTTGCCTAATGTTCTGTCTTGGCTCCTGTGGCTTGCTGCTGGCTGTCTCTGCTGCCAGAGCATGCTGCTGGCTCATGCTGAGATTGCTTCCCTCAGGTCCTTTTTGGGCAGAGCTGCTTCTCAGGCAGCCAGTCCCCAGCCTCTCTGATAGCCAGGGGCTCTTCCTTCTCATAAGTAGTGCTTGGCATTTGTCCTTTCTGAAGTGTGTAAAGGCTCCTGTTGACCCATATCTGCCTCCAGCCTAAGGCCCTATGAAGAGCAGCCTTGCCCTCAAGGATACTGAGTGCATCTCTGAGTTGGGTGTCATCTGAGGGTGCCTGTTTTTTCATCCTTCAGGCTCTGATAAAAGGTATTAAGCAAGGTGACTGGGCTGTGGGTAGACACATGCCATTAACCACTGACCTTTGAGTTGGATGTTCCAGCCAGCTACTCACACAGCTAACAGTCTGCCTATCTAGACTGTAAGATCCCGACTTACATACCAGGATGCTGTAGGGAGAAGTATCAAAAGCCTTGCCAAAGTCAAGGTAAACAACATCCAGTCATGCTGCCATAGAGGACAAACAGGATGGCAGGACATGGTTAACCCTTGGTCAGCCCATGCTGACTGGTCCTGGTCACCGTCTTCACCTTCTTGTGCTCAGAAACAGGTTCTCAGAGGATTTGCTTTGTGGTTTTCCCAGGAAGCAGAGTGAGGCTAACCAGCCTGTAGAGCCATGGCTTGTTATGTTCCTGTTTAAAGACAGATATAAAATTCACCTTTCTCCACAACCTTTCGAAAACAACAGGGATGATAAAGAAGGATGTTGCTGCCTATGCATCCTCAGGCTTGTATGGGTTAAGATTTCTTAAGAGATCCATGGTCTGATCTTCTTCCACTACTGCTGTTTCCTCCTCTCCCTGAATCCTCTTCTGGGGTGCAGAGACCTAGGAGACAGCATGTCCACACACTCAACCTTGTTTCCCTGAAGTTTTGTTTTGTTTTTTTTTTTTAATTTCACATATTTTTAATCAGCTAATAATGTCTGGCACACTTTGCCTGCCAGGGGGCCTGTGGAACTGTTTGCTCTGCTTACATGGGATGTATTTGAAATGGTTAATGAGAACCAGTATTCCTAGAATACACTGCCATTCTTTTGCCTCCTTTTAAAAAAGAGGTGTGTGCCACATGGGTGTCTGGAGGAACTGGTTCTTCCCTGTGATAGTTTACTTGTTTGTCTGCATCTGATGGTTGTGGATGTTCTTGCAGAGGAATTCATTCTTGCCACATAATTAGATAATTAGTTTCCAACTTTGATAGGCATTGCTGCAGCTGGCGGTGTGCACTGTCCCTAATAATTAATATAATAGACGAGGAAAATCAGCTAAATTAAGTTTAGCATGAACTAGATACCCAGGCAAGTGCACTTAATTCCACAGGCAATTACTTCTATATATAGAAATATTTGGTCTCAGTGGATCTACTTGTGACCTTATCAAGCACTCAGCAGAGAGAAAGGAGAGAATTGGTAGAGTATGTTTATAGAAATATACTGGAAACCAAGTGAAAAATGCTTGATTAGCAGTAGAATTAATTAGTGTGATAGTGACTGGACAGAGAGTATTGATAAGTAACTTTCTGATGTTTTACACCACTTCAGTCTTAGTGCAATTTCCAAAAAAGTCTGTCTCTGCCCAAGTTGCATAGCAACATTTCTGCCTTTTCAGTGTATGAAATCCTCCTGTGGCAATGTCTCCTACTCTGTTGGCTAATTTTGTTTGTGTGATGCCCTAAAAGTCACTCTGCAGCTTTAGTTTTGCTTTCATGTTGCCTGAGAGCTCCTGCCCTTCTCTCTGTGTTGCTCACGAAGGGCATGGTGCAGCTCCCTGGCCTCTGAACAAGGATGCAGCAATTTCTGTTTACCTTGGACTTTGCAGATAGACTGTATGTGTTATCTCTTTTATAGTCTAGATTGGAAGAATATTCCAACATGTGTGGAGAATTTCTCTATTAAATCCTCCTTGAAACTGATAGCCCAAGCATAAAGATTAGACTTCATTTTATTTTAGCTAAAAAATTTACCTCCTTGCCTATGCTTTTTATTTCCCAGGGGCATTTTAACATAAAATTGTTTTCCTTCCTGAGATGTCTAACAACTGTCTCTTTCCAGGGACAATGTTGTAAATGGAGTGAAATAGTATGATGGAAAAAATGTATACTCATAATGATAGGAAGAAGGCATAAAGAAAAAAAAGGGAACTGGTATGTTTTGTTGACAGACAGATGAATCTTGGAAAAATAACAGAGATTGTAGAAAGATTGCTTCATTTCTAAGGTTATTATATTACACTGTGCTTAAGAGATTTTTTAAAATAAGTTTCTCTCACAATTTGAGGATTTGGCTTCTTAGAAGGATATCTTCATATCACAGTCTCAACACAACTCTATCGTCCTTAATTTGTCTCAAGAAAAAGATGTGAAAGACTAGAATCAGTAAAAGTTTCTGATTTTTTTGAAGGTGGGTCAAATTTGGCAGGAGAGGTACTCTGCAGTCACTGTACTTGAGCAAATAAGGGTGAGGAGGCAGAATGAGCACAAGAGTCAGCAAAGTCAGTGTTCTCTGAGCTGGGGAGTTTGCACTGAGCTGGGTAATGGGCTGCAGCTCCTGGGTTCTGTTGTGCCCCTGGGATTTCAAATGGTAAGCCACTGCACTTAGCCTGGGTTTGTTTAGCAGTGCCTGACTGAAGGCTTGCTGTGGTTGTGAAATATCACGTGACTGATTTATGTCTCTGTAAACATGAAATGAGTATTTTTAATACAGTTGTATATTCCTCACTTGAGCTAAATTCCCAATGTCTTTCTTTAAAGGTTTCTGACATAAAAAGGGCTTAACAGTTCAGTGTTTCTTTAATTTGTTCCAGTAGTTCTTTTTTAATAGCTGAGTTTCTATAGGAACAAATGTTATTAACTTTTTATTCCCAGTCTTAAAAGAATCATAGGCACAGTGGCTCCTTGTCGCTGGTTTTTTGGCAGCAGCAAAAATGCCAGAAATATATTATGCAATAGCAGTATAATAAAGTTGTGCCTGTGCAGGGGGTCATACCAGTTCTGTATTGCCCCTTCTTGTTTGTGGGACTTTAGCCCACTGACCTTTGCTTGTACCTGGCTGGTTTTCAAAGACTAAACAAGCTTCCCTTTGTGTACTATCATTTAGTGGCAATCATACCCTTGCAATTCTCAGACACCTGTTCATTTACCAGCTCAAATAAGCCTTAGTTACCTTATTCAAATCTGGTCCACGCCCAGCTGTTTCTCCCCAGCCCGAGTGTGTTGCCTGCTCCCTCAGCGTGAAGGTGCCCCAGATATGAAAGAGCAGGTTACATAAAAGCCGCCCCCGGTGCGCGGCAGGGCCGAGGCTGTGGCTCCCTGGTTAATCCCAGGCTGCACCAGCGGCTCCGGAGGGGAGCGGGTGGTGGAATGAGCAAGCTGCTGAAGAATATCTAGCTAAGCAAAACATGAAATAAACTTGGGCTTAAACAAAACAAACATTATGGCCATGCGTTGTTTTCTTTGAAGTCTGGCAAATCATAGGACAATAGAATGGTTTGGGTTGGAAGGGACCTTAAAGATCATCTAGTTCAACTGCCCCACCACAAGCAAGGATGCTACCTAGTAGATCAGGTTGCTCAAGGCCCCATTCAACAAAAGTTGGAGATAGTGTGCTACCAGTGGGAGCAAGATTGAATCATTTCAGCATTGTCTGTTGGGGGTGAGAAGGAAGTGGGAAGAGCATTATCAGAACACTCTATGGAGACTATGCAAAGAGAGGTTAGCACCCTCACTCTTACTGATGCTGGTACTACTAGAAGGAGAGACAGGCTGATGTTTAAAATCCAGATAAGAACATTCTTCCTAGATGAGGCTTCCTAATTAGAGCAGTTTCTGTCTTGGGATTCAGCCTTTCATGTGGTAAATGCTCAGTTATAAATGTATGAAGTTATTGATTTTCTGAT